TATTTTGTCTTCATACTTTTCTACTGGATGGTTAAGACCAAGGTAAAGCAGGACCTGTGCAACAAGAGTTGTAGCTTTTTGGTCTGAGAAGTGAATGTGTGCCTATTACACCAGCTATAGCTTAATTTGAAGAGAAAAAAATTTTGATTGCTGGTGACTCATTTCCAAATTATTCAAGTATAATAGTGATATTTTTATCATTTGCAAAATTAAACTGATTATCTGACATGTCCTGACTAACCCTCCATGGTCATGCCTCCGACTTTGAAACTTGGGTCAATACTTGGCTGCATGTAAGTCTACTCTGAGGACCCTTCCATTTTTCTTATTTACCAAAATAAGCTAATTTATTATCTGACACCTTTATGGACCATCCTTGTTGATGCCTGAGACCATGACTCTTAGGTCAACAGCAAGATGAACAAATGCTTTCTGAGAACTCTTCCCTAATTAACAGCGAGGCCAGAGGCAGAATGTACCCCTCCCTGGATTATAGACAAAAGCTTTCCAATGATACTCCATTGTCTTCAGACAAATATTTTTAAGTCCATCTGAATCCATTTCAATAATAGCCTTCAAAGGCAAACCTGATAGCCAATATTGCTTTAAAAAATGTACCATGAACAATAACCAAGGAGCACCCCAAAAGCTAAAGGTATTAAAACCAGTAATGAAAATCAATTTATACTGTCCCAGTATGCCCTAATTTTACCAAATTGTTGGGTTGCAACTTTCTAGGTTCCATGCATAGATATGAACTTAGTGACATAGATAGTTCTAATATGTCATCTCAGAAGATGTGTTCAAGAAGATAATAATTACAGAAATACAACACTCTCAGTGAATACTAAGTATGAATGCTCAAAATTCCATAGTTCCACAAGTCCACATGATGGTGATCAAATAAGAACCCCCTCATAATGCCAGAGTAGTGAGGAACACCTGTAATCTCAGCACTCTGGGAGGTTGAAGCAGGAGGACAGCAAGTTCCAGCCCACTCTGCAAAATTTAGTGATTTATACTGACCCTGTCTCAAACTCAACTCAACTCAACTCAACTAAAATGGCTGGGGGATAGTTTGGTTTAAAGGCCCTTGGTTTAATTCACAGCACTGCAAATAAAATTTTTTTAAAACTCCTTCTCTGAAGCAAAAATCCATCTATGTGACAGTCACTTTCCTTGGTGCATAGGTTAGTTTTCATAATGTACTTTCAGTAACGTTTGTATTAGTGGCTTAATGCCACAGTGGCCAAGGAGAGACCACACATACTGCGGATGCAGTCAACCTGAGAGGCTTCTGAATCTAATGTTCTCACTGATGGATATGACCTCATTTAGTATGAGAAGAATGAGTTAATGGCAAGTATTTCAAGATTTATGAGAAAAAAAAACTGCTGTGTGCACGGTATGCTCAGTGTTATTATTGATGGCAAACAGGAAGAAAAAAGCAGCAACTATATTAGACAAAAAGATGAAACACAATAACAGAAAAATCTTCCTAATTTTCATTTATTTATTTGCTTTTTTGAGACAAGGTCTGGCTTTGTAGGGCAGGTTGGCCTTGAATTCATTATGTAGCCCAGTTTGGCCTTAAACTCACAGTGATCCTTCTGCCTCAGCCACCTTAATACTGGGATTACAGGTGTGTCCCACAACACCCATTCACTTGCCTAAACTCTAACCTGAGAACTCTCATTAGGAAAACAAGACCATATCCATGCTTTGCAAAAATTAAGAATATCTCTGACAAAACTAACCAAAATAGTGGGATAGAAATGAATGACCCTTTTGTATCTGTATACTCAAAATAGAATAGATATACAACTCCATTCTCTTAATTCAATGAATAGAGAGGTTTGTTACAATAGTGTTTGAGACAGGATATCAAGTCTGCATTTTGTGCAATGAATAACCACTAAGACAACAATATGCAATGTATTAATTATTGAAAATGTGCCAGTAATCGGTTGTGAAACTGTCTCATTGATATTTGCTTCTCAATAAAATTATTTTAAAAATTAAGAATAAAGGTCACTCTTTAAAATACACATTAAGGAAGTATTTTATTTCATGCTCTATTCTTACAAACTAAAAAGTTTCAGTGATTTAATAATACTTCAAATATAGATTGCACTGAATAGATATGAATTACCAGTTTTCTTTAATTATGGGAAAAATTTTCCAGTAATTCCCCATTAATGAAACTTTTAATCATTAGTATGAATTAGTGCACATTTATTCTAACTGGGCAAAGGCTAAAATAAATAAAAGCAAGATAAGTGCTGGTATAGCCACAATACTGTACCTCAGTCGTCCTATTCACCATCATCTGAAGCAGTGTTGTGTGGGAAGAAGAGGGAAGATATTATACAGTGAAAAAGGAGGAAACAATCAATCTACTCACTGCCATTGGGTGCCCTACTCCAACATGCCAAACGCAGTCAGCTGAGAAAGGAATCCTGCAACACTATAGAGTGCAATTCTGTCTTTCTAATTATTTTCCTATTATATATGAATACAAACAATAAAGAGGCAAATCATTCAATAGCTGAGCCTCACTCACTAAAGAAATCATCTTGTATTTAACTGTTTTGTTACTATTCCCAACAGACAGTCCCCTTTGTCCTGAAATACCTCTGCAAGGAATGGATCTCCTTCTGTGACCGGAAGTGATTTTGCATTATCACCGTGGCCTACTTCTTGAGCATCCCCGAGTGGAACCGGGCAGCTGGGAGCTCCTCCCCCAAATGCATTCAGCTCTTACCTTGGATTGGACATCGGCGTTGTGATCATTCTGAAGCAGGAGAGCAGCAGACTTGGTGTCATCTTTCCGAGCTGCAATGTGCAGAGCTGGCAGCCTAACTTTGCCTTTGGTGTCATTCTCCAGGAGGATGGCCACCGCCTGGTTGTGGCCTTGCTGGAGCGCTACAGCGAGGGGCGTGAAGCCATCCTGGTGGACAGGACAGAAACAGCTCTGTTCACTTGTGGATGTTTGTAACTCAGCTCCAAGTAATGCAGCCTTTGCACTTTTTAACTTTTAACTATTTTTTTTATTTTATGTTCTTTAAATTATATACATACTTATGGTTTCTCACATAAGAGAAACCACGCAGTATTTAGCTGTTTAACCTCATTATTATTATTTCATTTGGCACAACGGTCTCAAGATCTATCCATTTTCCTATGAAGGATCAAATTTATCCTTCTTTTTAACTGTGTAATATGGATCATATTTTCTTCATTCATTCATCTGTTTGAGATAGTGCCTCTAAATTTTAAAGTAATAAGACTGACAAACAAGAGAAAGTAATGTCAGTCATTTGTCAGTCTGTAGACTAGTTCAGTCAGGTTACTTTACTAATTCCTAATTTAAAATTTCTATTCTGTATTTTTTTTTCAGTACCAGGGATTGAAATCAGGACCCTTCACTTGCCAGGCAGGTGCTTATTCTACTGAGCTGTCTCCCCGGCCCTCTATTCTGTACATTTTATACTTCATCCTAACAAAACATATTACAGATAGGATGAGATCAATTCAAAACAATAATGTAACAAACTGCATGTTTATAATTGGAAAGTAAAAATGAGAACAAACCCTAAGTAATGCCTGTTTATGTAAAGGAAAAAATGAAAGAGTAGAAATAATGGAAGTCCAGTCAATTGGGAATCTAAAATATGGTAACCAACACATAAAAGTAAAATATATGATCAACTATATAAGTTGCTCAATGTTTCTGCATTGATTTTAAAAAAATGATAATTACTACAAGTAGAAAGAGATGCTACTAGTCTAGTTTTGGGTGTTTGGAACATAATATAACCTAAAACTTTGCTAAAATTAGACAAATAATTAATTTTATACTTAGTTACATTTTATATTATTAAGATCATTTAAATACAAAATTTCATAAGATTTATAATGCTAACAATCAATTTTTCAGTACCAAAAGGGAGAGCTAAATAAATGATATTGCAGAACAATTAATGCAAAGGTAGAAGAATATATATATATATTATTATTATATAATATATATATTCTAGGCTCTATTTGTGTAAAACACTCCTTGATCTCCAAAAGTTTGAAAATAAATCTTACAAGTGAAGAGATGACAGTCATCAGATACACCTCTAAAGTTGACATTCTAGAGACAGGTAATTTTCTACAGCATACCTACTCAATTTATTTTCAATAGTAATATTTAAAATGGTTACTGAAGATCATAGAGAAAAAGTAATTTTCCTCAAGCATATCCTATCATATATATAGGACCAACTCCAATGAGAGTTTAAGTTTTACCTTTCAACAAGATTTGCATTTCCAATATACCAAAATACTTACCAGAATGAAAGAGTAAAGCTCGTTGTGGGTTCAGAAGAAAAAGAGAAGCTTACATTTAGAATCTTGCTTGATATAAACTAAATCCTCTGTGAATGAGGAATGCACTCATTATCATATGCATATTTAATTCTATCCCTGAAATACTGCAGTAATTTATATGAAAAGTGTGAACTTATTTTTTTTTTACAGAAGTGTTTGCTCTCAGAATAGGACCTCATTAAAAAGATTTTAGCCTTCAATTTTGGTAACATTCAAGAAGAAAATCCATAAAAAGAAGAAGATCCATAAAAAAAAGTACCTGAGGGACAGAGAGCCCCCTTCAGAAAATTTAATTGAGTTCTCCACTAGGCATATTTCATTTAAATCTGTATTTTATAAAGAAGGCAAAATATCTGGAGTGATTACTTCAAGTATCTTAACTATACCTAGGAGAAGGAAATCCATGTTAAAGGTCAGTACGATTATCTGATTTTTAAACTGACTATGATGTAAGTCATTTTTTCACACTAGAGCTATTTAGACATACAGCATATAATGCAAATTGCAACCAATTACATACTTTTATAATAAAAATGTGTGTGTTTTATAGAATGATATACTTAAAAAGAAATATGCAGAAGTTTGCCCATATGCATGGATCTTTATAACAATTAGGATTGATGGTGTGGCTTTAATTAAGTTTATACACATCCAATCACGAAAAAATCAATTTTAGTTACTTAAACAATTTTTTAAATGAAACAAGGTATACATATGTGGAAGCTTGAATCCAAAACTTCAGATGATTTATCTGCAAAGGTAGCATTTTGGTGTGGAAATCAATGGGGGTTTTAAGTTTCTGCACATCTCAGTGTCACATGTCCCCTACCTGGGCCATGAGGGCTATTTTGGGAGCTTTACTGAAATGCTACAAAGGTCTAGATCAAAGGAGCCAGGAGTCATCTACTCACTGAAGAAAGAATTCAGGTGGAAAGGTCTCATCTGGAAAATGATTCCACTTTCAAGGAAAGAGAATACAATAGGAGTTACTCATTCTGGTGCATGTGTAAGAGATATAGTCTCCGTTGCCAAAGCTCTACCTGAAACATTTACATGCTACTTATGGACAGAATTAGTATCTCTGGGAAGTAAAAAGGTCCCAAATCATAAAAAATCACATTGCATTCATTCATATGGCAAGAGTGAAGAGTGAAAATGAGGTCATTTCAGACCAGGCAATTGTGTTTTGCAGACATGGCTGGAAGTATGGTCTCGGTCTCATTAGTTTTTTGTTTAATTAATGAGAATTCACTGTCAGAGAATGATTACTGTTAGTTTGACCAAAAGTTTTCTCCCAAAAACACTGGAAACTGATGAACAGATTTTAAAGACCCCAATTCATGTAGAATCATGTTCACGTTTATTCTGCTCACAAAGTCGTCGTCTGAGAAGAAATCTACACTTATCAAAAAATTAAGATGCTTTTTTGGTTACAAGCATCTATCGGTCGTTTTTCATACCTGCCATGAAGTTCTACAATTGTATGAAGGGGGACACAGAATATGAAGTAGGAAAAAGCAATGCCAGAGATAAGAAAGGGTGTGTTTCCACAGAGCTCACTCTCTCTCTCTCTGTACTCTCCCCACTCACCACTCCCAGCCTTCAAGTGGACCCAAAAGTACTTTCTCCAAGGCCAGTGGCTTCTGGAACGTCACTCAGAAATCACTGCCCTATACAATCTTTGGGTTTGCTCTTGAATCTACTTAATCAAAAATGAGATAGAAAATACAAAACAAGTTCTGCTTATGAGATGGACATGTGTAGAAATGGAAAGTGATGTTCTAAGAGTCCCTGCCATCGCCAGCCCCTTATGTCTAGATGTCCTGAACACTATGAAACTGGACTGATGTCTTTTATTCAGCTGTCATCATCATATACACTGTGTTGTAATTTGGGCTTTAAAGTGAATGGCAATGCTAGCAGTCTGTTCATCAGGACAGCATGTCAATAAAAATACATATGCATTATTTCTGATGGCTAGATATGGTTCCTTCAAGGAATTTTATTGGATGGTAACAAAATAAAATATTGATGAAAAGAGACTGGTAGGAATTACTGCAGTCTAATTTTAGGATGGAATAAAAACAGCAAGAACTATGAAGTATGCCAAATTGAGAGAAGCATGATTTCATTTAAGAATAAATGGTGAGGAATCTACATTGCAGGCATAAACGCCTGGAAGGGCATACACAAGTCTGGGTTACGCGTTTATAGACATTATTGTGGATTATAATGGAGATGTAAACATTCCTAGAATATTTTAGACAAAATAATGGCAGTTGTTTGTAACTGGTATAAAGAACATAACATTAAGATTTAATTAGTCAAGACCAGGGCAGACAGTTTTACCTCAGTAGCAGTGCTCTGATTAGCGCCATTTTCCAACAAATATTTTACAACATCGATGTGGTTCTCCTGGGCTGCCATGTATAAAGGAGTGAAGCCATTCTGAAGAGAAACAATAAAAAAGATGACATCGCCATCATCTGTAATGTTTAAACCAGGGAAGAATAAAGAACAAGGAAAAAGAACATCACCTTTGAAATGGTGAGGCTGTGTAACATACAACCATATACAAATATTTACATTACAATTCCAGGCCACAGGGGATCAATTCCTACAACTCCTAAGAAAGGAGGAGAAAAGGACAATAAAGGGACATTTCCCTCACATGGTGTTTTTACTCCAGTACCAGAGTCACATTACCCATCACTTAATACAGTCAAACCAAGATATTTAGCATCATTCTATCTATACAGTACATAGTCATAACTATATATCGTACCTATATAAAATGATATGTACCCTGGCAAGACAAGGGCCTGAGTTCAATCCCCAGTTCTGCCAAAAAAATAAAAATAAAAAAAATAAAATGATATGTACACAATGCCTTCTGTACTTACAAGTGCATAAGCTATTTAAATAAACCTAGTTGTCTCAATATACACAAGTTAGTTAGAGCACCATTCATACCAAAATACAGTAGGAGAGACTTAAATTGGATTGAAAATGAAAAAAAGAAAATCTGTATTTCAGGGTTCTGATTGTAGTATCATGGTTTGCACATGACGTTTTTATATTACTTCTTAAAGCCATGTGAAATTTGATCATTCATTCTGACATTTGCTCAATTTTTAAATAAAATCCAGCCACCCAAATTTGTGGCCTCACCAGGAGAGAGTGAAATACAGACACACACATCCTTATGGAGGACATACTACAGCAAGCCCTAGAAATATATAATCTCCATTAAGAAAAACACCACAAAAAAGTATCTTTAAAGTAATGTATAATAATTCACAAACTCTAAAAAACTAGCAATTTTTTTCAAAACCATATCAGTCTTAAATATAAGTAATTCCCTTAAACTCTCCATGCATTAATGAGAAAAATTAAACACCTAGGCAAATGTTCAACATTTTTAAAAATTTAAAAGATGAGAAAAACAGTTTTTTGAAATACTTCATTGAAATAAATACCCTAATGAGTAAGTATGAAACCGTTCCACAAAGATCCAACAAGGTATTAAGAAATATACAAGTTGATTAAGGAAAATAATTTAAATTTTGATTATGAAAGAAAATCTGCAGGCTTCAAATGGTGGAAGAAAATCTAAAACTCGAAAGGAAATGTTATTTTAAGAAGAATAAATTAAGAATGTTGTAGCATTCATGAATCACTTGCTAGCTGGATAGTGTATTTCTAAAAAACATAGCAAGCAGGTGAAATGTTGTGTATTTTAGGAACACTGAAGAGGTGGAGGAAGGATGGAATTAGAGATTCAAAGTAAGGAAAAGCCAGGGGAAGGTGGCTACAGACAATGAGTGGGTGTGAAATGGAGATTGTTCATGACAAGTAAAAAGGCCAGGGTGCAATAAAAGAAAAAGAACTTCTAACAGAGTACCACAGTTTGCTCCCGTGTTTCCTCTGGTAGAATCCTGTAGACAGATGAGGAGGAGAGGACATAGGCAATGGCTGCCAGATCAGCGGGGCTACGATTTCTGTCCCTAAGGCTCTGCCTGTAAATGCCTTGGCCTTGGGTCTTGAGCTACAGAAGGATGCCCTTTGACTGAGCAGGGCAGAGAATTCTGTGGATGAAGGAGACAGGCCTACCTTGGCCCCACAACTCCCCAACTTCCAGGCCACACCCCAGGCATCTGGCTGTCCAGAATCCCTGTTCTCATATGTGGTTCCAGCGCTTGCTTAAACTTCTTCCTGTCAATTTCTCAAGTGTCCTTTGGTCAGGTAAATAACGGCTGTCATACATACTGATGTCCTAATCTCTGGAACCTATAAATTCTACGTTATGTAACAAAAGGAACTTTATAGATGGATGAAGTTAAAGATCCTGAGGCAAGTACTATCCTGGGATATTCAAGTTGGCTCTACTACAAAGGGACTACAAGAGTCTGTAGAAGATGTCAGGGAGGAGACGAAATGCTCCTGCCATCAAGATAGTGTGGTATCCAGGGGTTCCAGGCTCTTTTCTTATTCAAAGGACTTGTCACAACAATTAATGAACTTGGAAGTTTATCATACATTTAAAAGTAAAAGAAGAAGCAAAATTGTTCAAGAAGAAGAAAAAAGATACACGCTGCACACAGGAAGAGCCACTCAAGCTCTGGCAGTAGGGAAATGAGTTCTTACCTAAACCCCAAGAAGGGAAAAGTAGTGACAAAAACTTGCCTTTAACGCTAAATTTCCAAAACTTTGAGAGAATGACTCCGTTGTGTTCAGCCACTGAATTTGTAGCTTTTGTTGCAACAGCAGCAGGAATCAAATGCACTGGCCACGAGTAGTTTCCCAGGGAGGGCAGAAGTGAAGGTGAAGAGAGCTTGAACAGATGTGAGCTGCGTGTCCCTATCACCACATCTGATGCCCGTGAGGCATGGTGGAGCCAAGGACAGGAGGACAAGATGGACTGATGTGGGCCAGGGTCCCCAGGAGCAGCTCTTCCCTGACCACTGGCCTGGGTGGGCCGGCAGGTACCTGGGATGTCCAAATGTGGACCTGTCAGGTTGTTACAAAATAAATGTAGAACATGCTTATTTAGCAGTATGTTGGCCAGATCTGTAGCTTCTGGTTTTAAGAATAGTTTTGCTGGGCTAGGGAGATAGCTTGGCGGCCTAAGCACCTCCCTAGCAAGCACAAAGACCCAGGTTCAGTTACTGGTGCTGCATTCTATGCCAGCCCGGCACCAAGCCGGCCAACAAAATCGGGTGTGGTAGTGCATGCCTGTAATCTCATCACTAGGGAGACTGAGACAGAAGGATCACTACGAGTCTGAGGTGCACAGTGAGACTCTGTACCAAATAGATAGATAAATAAATAAATAAAATATTTTAAAACAGAATAGTTTTTGCCCTCTTGTCCTGGGACTCACAAAAGTTTGAGGTGAGTTAAAGTGGTAGAGGGAGGGGAAAAGAATACATTTGAAAACCATTCCTAGAGATCATAAAATTTAAAAAAGGTCTCTTAGCCAGATGGATGCAGAGAAAACTGCAATATATTATAACATTATTAACCAGCTAAAGCTAACCTTAGATACTTTGGCAGAACAAATACAAGCTAAATCACCTTCTTGAAACACACTACCCTGAAATCAGAATAGGGAACTAAAGTTTATGAAAACTTTAAATGGTTTGTAAATTAATATCTCTGTAAATTACTCATTTTTTATTTACTCTTACTTTTAGTCCTGTGTTGCTGGCCTCAGCAATTATACTTCAATGACTGAAAAGAATCGCCCTATTTTCCTAGATGAAAAATTCAGTTCCAACTAAACAGAAAGTTTGAGAAACTATTAACCTACCAAAGGTACAGTTGCCAAGTAGACCAGCCAGATATTAAGTAGAGGAGAAATCAATGAGTGGTGCAGGAGAGGCAGAGGTGCTTGGAAAGTTTTCTCTGATCCTTCTTATCTTTCAGGCCTCAACACAGAGTCATTCTTTTGAGTGTGTTTATTCCATGTCTATAGAAATGCTTTGCACATAGTAGATGCTCAGTAATCTTTTAAAAACAGATAAGTGAATAAAGTAGACCAGACTCTAAGCGAATAAAGTAGACCACACTGTTTATGGCCAACAGTGGTTTGAATATATGACTGCACATACTTTCGCACATTTCCCTTCAAAAAGTATAGCCTAATTCCCCTCTTTTTATGGTAGGGTTTTTAGTAGTTTGCTTCTAAGGCACTGATATGGTAAGGTAGATAGTGTGTGATTTCTAAGGGGAAGGGCCTCAACAGCATCACCCTTCAGCCTTGTTCTTTCTTTTGGGTCATTCTTCTCTGGAAGAAATAAGCTGCTGTAACACAATGACTGTTGGCAGAAACTCACAGGAAAGGAGTTCAGACCCCCACTAACAACTAGCATCACCTTGCACCAAGTGCACAACCCACTGGTAATAAATCCACAGGGCTTGCTACCTCCAGGAAAAAACCTAGATGACTTTAGCTCTGGTCAACACCTTCATGACAACTTTAGGAGTGACTTTGAACCATAACTGCACATCTAATATAGCAGTGAATTGTTGGTAACCAGAATCTGTGACCATAATAAATGTTTATTGTTGCTTTAAACCACCAAGCTGTGGAAATTCACTATGTGACAATAGCTAACATCACATTCTGTAAGGTTCGCATGATGAGGGCCTTGTATAGTTGCCAACTTCATCACTAGGGGCTCTCACCCCATGCAGCTTCTTTCTTTATAGGAAAGGCATTCATAGCTGGATAATTACCTTCAAAGTATCACAGTCTTAAGTGTTAAATGCTATCAAACTTGAAAACCCTAAAAATAAATGATTCCTCTGCTTGAAGTTGAGTGTGTTCATTGTTCAGCAATCTCTTCCCCTACCCCAAAAGGGACTGTGTAAGATACAAAGGAGGCGTTTCAGGGTTCCTTCCTATAGAATACTGAGTTGTAAGAGTTAAGACTATGACAAAGCAGCTGTGGCTCTGCGTTACCTTTCTTCATAGGGTTTTTCAATCAGAAAATGTCACATTTCTTCCCTGATAAGAAGGAATGGAAGGGAATTCTGCATATTGCCCTATATGAAGCAATAGTCTAGACAGTTTATAAAACTGCAGCTGTAAGTGTTTATAATGTCCTTCCTCCCAAGTATTATTGGCCAGATTTCTAAGACAGTTATGCATACTCTCCATACCTCCTGGAAAACATATAAACAAATTATAGGACCATCTTCAACAATGAAAAATGGGAATGCATAGCGATAGATTAGGATTTGAAATGACTAAACATTAGCTTGCCCAGCTGAGTAAGTCTCCTCTCTTACATACAATTCAGCTTCAAGACTTAGACTTTTTTCCCTTGGAGCAGAATTCCTTATCAAACTGACTGAGGCCTTCCTGAAGTCCCCAGCACTGGCTGGCAAACACTACTCTAGTCACCATGGGGATACTCCCCAGCAACTTCTTCCTCTGGATT